CCCTTCGGTGTAACGAGATTTTCACACCTGCACAGTGTCGAATTTTTTTGATTGACAGGTCAAGCACGTGGACTTCGTGTGAACTTGAAGCAGGAAAATAAAACCGATTATGACTGTAAAACAAATGGATTTGTTGATATAAAAAAAAAATGGTTACTTTCACTGCCTATATAATTTAGAAAAAAAAATAAGAATTTTTATTTGATATAGGTACAAACATTTGAGGAAAGGGGGGCTAAAATCTCTCTCTCTCTCTCTCTCTCTCTCTCTCATTTGCCCGTTTAATAAAAACTATGACAGCATATTACTTAAATATCAGGTTGTGAAAATTTAATCTATAACAAATAATATGAATGCTTTTTTGTATCATCTTGTCCGAGTATAATCACGGCCGGGGAATGTCTACAGATACATGTAGAAGTCTGCACAAATAAATCATCATAAAAAATAAAACTGACACATAGATATATTATTGCATTAAAATTATAAAATACTACTGTATTTATGTAATACGTCCACATAACTGTAAAATATTTTAATTTTTTTCCTCATTATTTTACACGGAATCGCCTTGACACGGAAATATGTGCATAGTTGTAAAAACAGTTGTAATTCATTCTATAAGTCCGTAGTTTTCTCTTCTAAAATCAATATTATTTGTAATGGTTTTATATATCAAACAAGAATTAATATATCTATTTTACAACTGGATTATTTTATCTTTTATACTTCAGCGTTCGGTAACAATTACAATGTTTTACAGCGATTAAAAAAACGTGTTTAAAAATGTTGGTTTTAAACATCGTACATATGTGCAGAAAGTATTGTAAGAAACTTAAATTAATAATTTTACTTATCGTGCAAGTATCGTCTTTCTTAGGACAATTTTCATTGATTTGTTTATTTATTCATTATTTATTCATTTTTTTGCACCAGGCATTAGAATACAATAGAATAGTTTCAATGCAAGGAAAAGATCAGAGGCTTTCCCAATAAATCGTTCATCTTGCATTCACCGTTCCTTCACCGTTCACTTTGCGCTTCGTTCGCGTTCTGCGTTCGCTCACCGTTCACCGTTCACACATCGTTCACCAAGTTGCGTTCAGCGTTCACACATCGTTCACTCACCGTTCGTTCGTTCAGCGTTCGTTTCCCGTTCGTTCACCGTTCAAATGGGAAAGTAGAACGTTTCAGGGACTGTATGTGAAGCTTTGATCGTCCATTTTGGCTCCACCCTACCCCCGGGGTAATGATTTGAACAAACCTGAATTTACACCACATTAGGATACTTTCACATAGATATGACCAATCATTGCTTTGCTGTTCTTGAGAAGAAGATTTTTAAAGATTTTTCCTATGTATTCCTATTTAAAAATTTGATCGTCCATTGTGGCCCCACCCTACCCCCGGGGATCTTGGTTTGAACAAACTTGATTCTTCACCACCTGAGGATCCTTCCATATAAATATGATCAATCATAGCTTTCCTGTTCTTGAGAAGATTTTTGAAGATGTTCCCTATATATTCCTATGTAAAACTTTGATCGTCCACTGTGGCCCCACCCTTCTCCCGGGGGTAGCTTGGAAACTTGAATCAATACTACCTAACAATGATTCCACATGAGTTTCATCTTTCCTGGCCCATTGGTTCTTGAGAAGAAGATTTTTCAATGATGCCATTAATTTTCGCTATTCGTAATTATCTCCCCTTGGAGGAGGCCGTGGAGCTTCGATCGAACAAATTTGAATCCCTTTTACCCAAGGTTACTCTGTGCCAAGTTTGTTTGGAATTGGCCCAGTAGTTCTTGATAAGAAGATAAAATTGAGAATAGTTTACAACTACAAGGTCGGCAACGACAGACAACAGACAAATTTTGATCAGAAAAGACACTTGAGCCTTCGGCTTAGGTAAACTTTAAATAAATGCATGAATGTAATACATACGCATATAATTTTTAACATCGACTTAAAAATGAATCACCCCCTCCCGATAATATGCATTTATAATAATTTTTCTTGAAGCAGATTTTGTACATAACGTTGTTCATTAGCAACGTTTTAACTACGGTGACAAAACAAAACAATTCAAACAAAAAATAAACAAAAACAAAAATATTACAGTGAATATAATAGCAAGAAACATTCGAAAAGCTTTATATGTATTAGCGGCATGAGATTAAACATAATTCTAAATAACTTTTGAATTGAATGTTATCTAAAACAAATATAATGATGACGTAAATGATGATTAAGATAAAATTTAAAATGACTGAAATAACAGCAATTTGAAGTATTTTTAAATAGGTTTTTTTTTTCTTTCAAGGGTAAGTACTGACCATCTTGTAAAATACTTAGTCTATGAGATCTTGAAAGTGGTTTGACTACTTCTACATTATTACGTACGTCATTTTTAAACAAATTTCTGGTTGTGTTGTTTTCATTATTGGTTCATATTTAATTCATGCAATTAAAATCTGTATATGAATTATATAAAATATACCAGTTTTATCATTCGTATTCAACTGAATTATATATTTATCAAAAAATCGTATCCAAACTAGGTAACTTAAGGAGGCGGATGAAAGGGAGGGGGTGGCAGGTTCGAATTCAATGGGGGTTATACTTAGGTGCACCGTGACGATTGTAACGGGATACATTCTTTAACCAAATGTCGGTTAAAACAAAAGGAACCTTCACTTTTTTTTGCACCCCAAAATAACTCATCAAGTTGATGATTATACATTTAAATACATGCACATGTTGGTCACTGCTTATCTATCGAACAATCATTGAGTGAATATTTTCTAGGCAATTTTGAATAAAAAGATGTCTAAACATAGAAATTTCAAACTGCAAATTTCAACGTTTCAATAAAAAAAAGTATGTTCTCGTAATTAAGTGTAGACAACACACTAATTACAAATTTTATTATAGGTCTATTTTTTTTTTATTTATGTACATGTACGTGCTGCTTGTATAGATAGAGGTAAATGTTTTGCTTCATTTTCTAATGTAAACGAAAAAAAAAACATCGATTTGAAATACATGTGAATTGAAAAAAAAGAAAGAAACAAAAACAATTTATTATTGAATGAATAAATGTTTCTTAAGAAATGAAATATAACTAGAAAAAAAGTTTAATTGAAATTATCTTTTCAGTTAATCACAGTTGTTATTTTTTTAATACTAGCTATTTGAAAAAAAAGCGCAATGTGTGATTAAGAATCAGCACATGTTCAAATCGGTTTTAATTAAATATTAAAAAAAATATTATTTAATTATCTGAATATTAATTGTTACGAAGAAAAGTATAATTTATGAATATTAAGTACATATAAAACAAAAGTAAATTCATATTGCATAAAAATAAACATAACTTATACTGTACGTGTACAGTGTTTTTATTTATAACGAAATGTCAATCAGCATGCTGAATGGTCGACGCGTAATCTTGATTGATACGTCTTCTAATAAAGGGGCATAATTGGTACATGTACTCATGGACTTCCCAACAGATTGTTGATGTTGAAAGACCTGATCTCCAAAACTACTAAGATATTGTCAGTCAAAAATAACTCATAATGGCATATGACGTCAAATCACTGCAAATTTGAGCAGACATGACGGGGAAAGTATCATAACTTTTACGTTCCTTTCACATCACATGTAGATTTTTTTTTACGTTGATGTTTATATCATGTGTCTGGATTGTTGTTTTAAGGCCGTTATGATGGTGAATATTTGCAGTATAATATCGTTATCCTTTTTCTTGTCTAATTGTAAGTATTCAATCAATTACAAAAAAGAATGTGAAATGCTCCCCCTTACACGTCCGTAGACAGAGTTAGAATTTATAAATCTTATAAATATTAGACTGGCACAAGTGAATGATAAGGATTAATTGAAGATATTCTGTTTGAATCTACTAGAGAAATATGTCTTCTTGCTGAATTTTGCTGGGGGATTGTATGTAATTTATCCAACTTGTATAAATTGCGATGAAGAGTGGAAAATGACCCCTTGTATGTGAGTAAGTTGAATTTCTCGTGAAATATTTTTTTACGAAATAAAATTCAGACTTGCCCCAGCACTATATATATGCCCAAGAATACCTTTAATTGACTTATGTAACAAGCCGTTCACAATAATTTTGTTTTTCACCTGTGCCGATGCGATTTTTGTGCAACATTTAAGAAAATTTAAAAGTGTCCGTCACGTGATCAACACAGTCATGTGACATCACAAAAATACTTTTTTTATAATACCTTATTCAACTCTCTTTACAACTTAACTGTGCATGCATACATGGATTACAAATTGATATCAAAACATGGCTCAAAATAAAATAGTATACATCTAATGCATATTAAGCCTTCAGACAGCCTTAACATAGCTGCGTAGTGGAGTTTCGGTTTGAATGTATTTCACAGAAATTTCTATTTTTAGTTACAATGGCAACATCGTTCATCGAAATCAAAAAAAACCTATACATAGAATTATGTATCTTAGAGTAATTCACTTGTGTGCCAAGTGATATTGAAATCAGACCAAAACTGTAAGAGTAGCATTTTGAAAAAAAAAAATGTTAACAGACCAACAGACGGACTGACTACGGACACCTTACTATCGCATAAGCTCTTCTGATCTCTAACCATTAGATCTAAAAACAAGATTAAAAAAAGTATATAAACACTCTCTTAAATTAGAGATACTAATAGTTGTGAACTCAAACTTGTTGTGCGCCACCTATAATTCAGGGAGGACAATGTGCGGTTTTACTTGCAATTTGTACGACTTGTACATGAGAGAGAGAGAGAGAGAGAGAGAGAGAGAGAGAGAGAGAGAGAGAGAGAGATAAAATATAGTTCTACATACCTGGCATTGTTTCAGAACAATTTGAAGAGAGAATATTCCACTTCCCATACGTAATTATCAACTTCTTTTTCAGAGCAGATAATGGCCAATTTTTGACATTTGTAATCCATATTTTATTTTATCCAGTACGACTGTTGCGCTGTAAACCAGATAATAAGCACAACTAATGACTTTGATACGGCCCCCTGGTGTACAACTTCCGGATCCTGTCAACAGACGAATTCTCAGATTCCGAAAACCTGTTGTAAAGATATCACTGAAGAAGACTACGTCAATGCAACTAGCAGTTGTCATGCTACTGTCACCGCTGGATCATACAAAGACGTAAATTTTAGAATATAATGTATATCGTGAAATTACCTCATAAAATATTTTTTTCAAAAATTCATCGTTAATAGATAAATCTTAAATATTCACGCGAATGAAATTACGCAGCACAGTTAAGCCTGCAATAAGGAGGCGGGGCCTAATTTTTACGGGAAATGCTTACTATGACATCACACAAAAATACTTGTTCTTCAAATTACCACAAAATGAAATGATACGCTATTTTAAACTATTGAATAGCTTTAAATTACATCAATAATTACTATTGCATGTATTTTTGTCGTTGGTTAAATCCCACACAGCAATAAATATACAATTCACTGATCGCAATGCACTTGTCAATGTGACGTCATATCGTAAAAGAACTAGGTACGTTACGTATTATTCGAAGGCCCACAATTTTTCGTATTTTAAAATACACGTTTGCAAAAATATAATTGCTATGTACATGTATAAGAAGATAGATAGTTTTGATATATGCATAACAAAATTTCACAAGTACGTTGATTACAGGTATTCACAGGATTTAAACATCCGTTCTTTCCGGAAATTGCTATTTTTTCCACTATTTTTACAACAATTTCCAAAAATTGAAGTAGTGCACATCCCTCGAGCAAAATAAAACATAAATATTTGAAAATAGTTTGATAAAAGACAAGCAAAAATAATGGTAAGAATTTGCTCGAGGAATGTGCAGTATGTTAATTTTGACATTTCATGACTATTTCCGGTGGCGGATACCAAGTTAGTCGAGAGGCGAATTCTTATCTAGGAGTAATAATAATGGTGCATTTCGTGTAATAATGTTACAAAATAAATTTATTATTGATTGACCATATCTATATTGCTCACACAAATATATTTGTCATGAAAATAGCATGAAACTAAAAAAATGTTTTATAGAAATGGCATATTATTTTATACAAATAAGCCTAACACTTGATTATGTTGCCAGCAAGAAGGAAAGAGATCTATTTAATAAACTAAAGCAAAAAAAATAGAAAATGTTCAGCTGACTAATAAATTCACTAAAAGTATTATTGCAGAAAAGAAAATGCTTTAAAAATCCGAGCCTTTATTTCATTTTGCTACTGAAACGGCCTGGTTGACGTCTGCATGTATGTAAATAAATTACGCAATAAACTCAAAGATGACGTCACAATAGGTCCCCTTGCAACACATTATTTTTTGGAAAGGGGGGGGGGATGAATTCTTAATCTTTTGGATGCCGTTGGTCAGGACTGATCAGAATAATCAATATTCTGAAGTCGTATTTTCAGTCATTTATACATGTGCACGGTTGATGTTTGAATATATTTTCAGATTTTATAAATCGACGCACAATATAAGCGCGTTGCATCTGCAAAGGTTTCTATTGTAGACATTGCCGTTAATATTATGCATATAAAAACAAACACTCATTTTCACCTAGTAAAATTTTTTACCTGTATTCTACTTAAGATCATTCCACATATAAAGAGTTGTGATTTCTTATCTGTCGAGGATCCAGTGAAGTTGAAAGAAGACTAGAATGAGAAAGCGACAGAAAGGTCCAAAAAAGAATTTCAGACCAAAAAAATTAAAAGCTGTATTGGATGAGGGGTTCACTTTTCAACAAGGTTACTTGTCACTAAACTCTTTCACCCAATTACCACGGTGTATGTGTACCACACAATTCAATATAAGTACTGTGGAACAAAATTATCTGTCTGAAAACTAGTTAGTTATCAGGCACGAAAATCAGGGACGCAAAGCCCCTTCCCACTTTTTTCTAAACTTTGAAAATGTTCATTGAAAGACTGCCCCCTCCCCCCTCTGTTTGCTGTAGCATAGGTAAAGTTTAGGAATTGAGTGTATTGGGGCAAAAAATTGGTTGTGAAAAAAAAATTTTGAAAAAAAAGTTTGAACCTACCGTAACTCGGGGTCTCGTTTTTAAGGTCTCATCCTAAAGACCCGCAACTTTCACTTCAAAGTGCCGAGCGCTTGAACAGTTGCTACCTATTTTTTATCGACTTAGGTCGGTCGCGGCCGAGATTCAAACTCACGACCTCCCGATCACGGAGCGAGCGCTCTACCTGAAATGGATTGAAAAGCAGGCATAGATGCCTATGATCTTTCTCTCCATACGTTTGGTATCGAAGGCTTACAATTCTTACTTAAAGATAGGCTCTCATATTGAGCGAAACTTCAATCAACAAAGTCAAAACTTCAAGCAACAGTATTTATCTATAATTATATGTACGTATTTGAAAAAAAGATCGTAAAAGTTTTCTTCAAAGAAAGTAAATTTTATACATGTTTATTTTTATTTTATTTATTTATTTATTTATTTTTTTTTATTTATTTATTTTTTTTTTTTTTGGCAAAAGCTATACTAAGTTGGTGAAAAAAGCCTCAATAAATTGCTAGAGCAAATGCGATAGAAAGTTGCCTTTGCCAACTATCCAAGAGAAGTGCTGCAACTCTACCAGCTTGTGAAGGGGGGGGGTGATACTTGATTCGTGCATTTGAGAAGGACCATCTGGTGACACATAAAATTATTAATCGAATGACGGTACTTTTCAGGGTTTTTTTGAAACTTTTTCAGATGACAAGACAGAAACGTTTTGAACACATTTTGTTTAGATAAATTCGAGAGTGACGCCGCGACTTGTTGGAAAGGATAGGCTTGGGAATTTGCCCTTTCAATGTTATCTATTTATTACAATTTCAAATAATTTTCGAAAAAATATCTTGAATGCTTTCTCATAAAATTTTATAGGGAATCTAACATTCTATAAAATAGTGTTAAAAGTTTTAATGCAATCTTAAAAGCAAACCAAGTAATTCGCCAAAAAAATAATAGTCTAGTTTTTTTTTAAAAAATCAAACACTTTATGAATTAGAATAATCGGATACTTATAATAAACGTACTATTAATTAAGTATTACGCATCTCTCTCTCTCTCTCTCTCTCTCTCTCTCTCTCTCTCTCTCTCTCTCTCTCTCTCTCTCTCTTGTTTTAAAATCATATAAATTAATCTTTCATTTGTACGTATATTGTCGGACCCAAAAACAAACTGTTTGTCTGAGGCCGTTATTTAACCGATCGATAGGTCGACAAAACGCATTTTGGCCGAGAACATTGTCAATAAATGTTTTGTTATGCTTTTGTATCTTGTGCTGGCTTCCGTGATGTAAATTTGCTTAAACCACACTGCGGTTAAAATTGGTCAATTTCGTCACTATCGAACACCAATGAATGCAAATGAGATTTAACTGATCTCGCCCACAATTTCGACGAAAGCGGTCCAATTTCTCATCGACAGGTCAAATATCTTACTCCGCGGCCAAACATCGATTTTTTTTATGACCGCTCAGTACAACATTGGGAATGTGTATAGATTTATATAGAAACCAATTTTTAAAGGTATAACAAAATTTTTTGTTGTACTCTGGAAATCTTTAGAATAAACTCTGAAAATATTGTAGGGAGCAAATGAAGCGATTTGTGTATACATGTATGTGTATAAATGATAGAGGCTGTATTCGAATGATTAAAACTCTGTACCAACCAAGGGCGGTCTGTGAGAAAATGCATTATCTGTAAAAATCTGAACAGAAACTTTGAGTTGGTAAAGTCATGGAAAGAGAAGGGCGCTTCACAGTTGCTGATCTTGTAAATGCACAATTACGCGGTAAAATAATAAAAAAAAAAACATGGACAAACAAAATTATGCTACCGGTACGATTGTTAGCAAAATAAATTAATGTTTTAATAAGTGGCTATTGGAGCAAACTGTGTGAAATGTAAAGGAAGATTTAAAAAAAAAAAAAAAAAAAAAAAAACCCATGACGCAATGTTTTTTGACCTTATAATGTAGCTCCGGGGTTACCAAACATGTTGATTGTAAAACTAAGTAAATTGATTTCTGTTAAATCGAATGGAATGAAACTTCACACAGCAACAAAATAAATATTTTTATATAAGAAAATGTGTTCTTTTTCAATATTTCTTGAAAGTAATATAACGAACTTTCCAACAACCCTTGTATTTGCGTAGCGTCGGTAGGTTGACGTCATAACGTCATAGTGTCATTTTCCAAAGAAACTATCTATATTCAGATACCTTTGTAGGAAAATTGATTTGAGATAATTACAAAAATTAATTTGAATTAAAAAGAGGACATCTTAGACATGTTTCAAAAAAATCTTCATCAGATTTGGGGACAGGGCCGATTTTGGTACTTAACGTACTTTCTTCTTTGACGCAGTTTGTATGCAGTGAGAGGCGGGTCAAGTTATATTTTATACAATGAAAAATGTGTTTTGTAATTAAATAAAATATTATGTGCAGATATATGAGAAGCCATTAACTTGGATGCGATGTCTATTTTATGATTTTATTCATATACTTCCGGTGCACACCCTAGACAAGTGAAACTGCCGTACATTTGTATGCAGATTCAATGAAGGGAAATAGAAGGGTCGTAATAAATCGATATATTGCAAGGGCATACCCTCAATGAATTACGACAAGCTTTTACACATAAACTCAAGAGGTATGAAGATATTTGAAAAGTGCTGCTAACCTGATGAAATCTTGCAAATGACCTAATTATATCTACATTTAATGTACTTGACCATCAAAATATTTAACATACGGTCTAACAAATGTAATTTTAGTAATTATATAGTAGAATCTATATAGGTTCGCAGCACTTTTCACAAACTACAAAGAGTGTTGAAAAAAACTATAAATTAAACTTAGATATTTAACTTAGTTATGCCCTTGCAATATTGGAAATTATAGATGACCTCAATACTGCAGGTATATTTGCCACATTACGTGACAAATCCATATAAGAAATATAAACGTCCTCAGCATGTAGATTTCAGCCACATTATATTTGTCCGATAATAGTAAGGCTTAAAAAGAATCGCCCATCCTTGTAAAGAATGTATTTTCTGTCCTAAAAATTCGCCGATATTTCAATTTGGCACCTTAATTTTTCTGTACTGCGTAATCTAAATATATAACATTTCCGTGTTGTGTCTTAGCTGGGTAGATGGATTTCATACAGATAAGCATTCTTGATATACATTTTCACAGGATACATTCCTGTCATTGTTTTAAATAATGACACACTGCAAATTCATCATATTCAAATTTGAACCTTTTCCTTACTTAAGCATATTGCTGTTAATTAACTTATATTTTGCATGTCTTACATAAGAAATAAAAAGTCGTAAGAACATCAGATTAGATCGAAAAAATGACAAAACAAGTCGTACATACTAGAAAAGAGTAAGTAGGATAAGATAAAGTACTGTTTTCTGTATAAACTACTTAATTTCCAGTTCTTACAACTTATTATCTCATTATTATGATAAATGTGTCGTTATACGAACTTTGAAATACGAGGTGAAATGACTATTAATTTAACGTTATTGATGAAATTTAACGGCAAGTGTTTTTACAATCTACTTATTCATATATGGAAACCAGAAAGGGCTACCTGCCACATCAAATGGATAAAGTCAAGTTCTTACACAGGCTCTAACTATATAACATGCCTGTAATATACAGCAATTACATGGGGATAATACTTTCAGTAATGTAAACCCCAAAGCTTGCCCTTGGAACCCCGATGGATCAATATGGTCCCTCAGGTACTTGTACCGCTGAGGTAACCATCAAATTCTCCTCAATACTGAAAGTAGATTACTCAGTGTTTTGATCCACTAAACATAAGGGGATTCTTCATTCGTGGTAATCCATGAATTCCGCAGAATGAAATTTCACCAACCACTTACGTTTTATGTGCATCTGTTGGTTTTTTATTCATTTTATTCCACCCACTTAAAACTCTTTTAAAGTTTATAAATGTACATATATAGTAGACTAAGAATGAATTTTGAGCTATCTATCCTCTTCTCGGAATTTGTTGGGACCCGTAACATGCAGCGTAGGAAGAAAATGTGATACTTTGAAACAGTTTCGATCAGTGCAATATAGCTGGTTTTTTATAATCTCCTCCATATTGTAATTTGGTGAAAATGTGGAGTTAATTTATTCTCCAACAAAGAGTAAAACGCCTTACATCTTATTTCCCTGACCCTAAATTCCAATATGTAGATATACATTTCTTACCTTTCCTATCTTCCTATAAGAGAGAGGGCTTTGCCTCCGTAGACAAGTGGTGTCACTTCTGGCAGTGCAGTATCTAACAACATCATAAGTCATACTACAACCCTATACATGTTACGCGTACGAAAGTATTTAAACTTAATCTTAAATTTGAGATATTACATTTCATTTACGGAAATCTTGGTGCTTCTGAATTAATATAACCAATCAATGATTTGCCGTTCTTTGAAGTGTTATTATTGATTGATTTATTATTTGTTAAAGCCGAGTTGACAATATTTCAGCCATTTTTCAGCGGATAATTTAGTTTATTTATGTTGGAACGTCTTCTGGTGGCCTTTAGTTAGCCTAGTCTTTTTTTGAAATCCAGAGAAACGATCTTTTATGTGCCAAGGGGTTTGTACATGTAATCCTTGACACGGGGCGCCATTTAATATCCCATCCGACGGACATAAAATATAAATACTGTAGATTCCTTATTTTACGCAAGTACTTCATATCGCGAAATGGCTCAAGGGCGTTAAATCACGAGAACAATAATTCGCGAATGGGTGATTTATCTAGAGATTTTACATTCATGAAAGCACAATAAAAATAAAAGCGAGTAATCTTATTTCGCGAGTGGTGCTTCACGCCTAATTACGCGATAATTTATTCCTCGCGTATATTTCGGAATCTACAGTATATATTTTAACTGTTAAAAATTAAACTGATCTATCTATTTCTCATCAAAATTGTTTTAATTATTTAATTCTTAATTTTACTGTAAAAATCAGTTTCTTGTAAATATTTTAGCTGAACTTGGGAAAATGATCTTTAAATATATTTTCTACTGTGATATATCTATTTTTATGCAATATTTGATTTTTTTTTTAATTTTTCGATATGTCAGCTCTTCTAGATTTTTCTGTAGATTGTCTCCGAAAATCGGATGCACTAGGTACTTGGTTAAATTGTCTTATACCTGTATGTAAAATTCATGGTCTTCAGAATGTTTGACCGCGACAAAGGACACAATCGTCTTTATACTGGTACATGTATTAAAAGCATTTTATTTCGATATGGTGATAAATGCAATAATGTTGCTCGAATCATTAAACGTTTCTCCTACAAATGATTAATTATCTATTAGCTCATTGTAACGGCTTCATCAATTATATATGATTGTTATTATGTGGTCCGCGTGGCACAGTTGTCAGAGCATTTGCTCCTGAGTTGCGGCGTAAGAAGTTAATCCTTACTTTGCGGTTGGAATCCACTGTGCGTGGAGACCGGTTCTCTGGATGAGACCATATAAACTGAAGTCCTGTGTCGCAGAAGGTGCTGACATGAAAAAGATCCCTCACTGCTCAAAGGCCATAATTGTCTAAATTCACAGTTCTAAATTTGTAGCCCTCCACCGACAAGTAGTGACGACTCAATATGGGTGAAAAATCCTCTTTAACAAAAAACAAATAAACGTTGCAATTACATTTTATTATGTCGTCCTAACGACATGTTATCGATTTTATAACGTATTGAATATGCGTTCCAATAAATTTCAATAAAGTAAAGTAATATAAATAAGTTTCAAAATTTTAACTTGAAAAAAAATATCCATCTGGGAAGAATTTCTAAGATACTTTCCTCAGAATGTGTATATTCTTTTTACATTTGGAATTCTGCAACAGACATAATGTAAAAGGCAAAAATAACAAATAGTTATTAATCTCATATAAGGGGAGGGAAGTTTGTTTAAAATTATAGTTCCCTGTAAGGGAACTTGACGATGGCAAAGCTGCAGTCATTCCATTTGTTATACACTTTAATAATTAGTTGGCCATTATCATTTTTAGTCAGTAATACACCCAGCTGTGGCAAACTCTATATATAGTGTCTTTTATGTCGAACTTGGATACTTGGATATATTGAGTCATTAATTGAAAGCAACAATTTGAAATGAAAAACGTCGTCGATATATTTAAATTTTGAGTTGAAAGCCACAAAAGAGTAATTAACAGACCTTTTAATAGTATTCCAGTGATTGTGAATATTGTACCTAAACAGTTTAAGTGTGCACTCTGTATATGCTATGGTCAAAATTGAACAATGGTTGTCTGTTTTGTCCTCTTTTTTAAAAAAAATAATAGGAAATCTACATAGTTTTTAATGTCACAGCGACTAAAATTGAATATAATCTACTTCGATTCTATAATATTATTTATGAGTTTAGATTTTTTTTTTACACAAAACATATTCAATTCTATTCAATTTTTTTAGCTCTTCTGGTCGGACACCTGAAGAGCTTGTGCGAAAGTATGTTGTCAGTCGTCCGTCTGTCTGTCTGTGGCACAAGAAAACTATGCAAAGATACATAATTCTGAATATCTTTTGTTGATTTTAATGAGCCGTGTTGCCATAGTTACTAAATATAGAAATTTCTGCAAAATACTTTCAAAACGTTACTCTTCCTCCTGTTTTGGTCCAATTTCAATATATCTTGGCACACTAGGATAGTATACTCAGATACATAATTCTGTATATCGGTGTTTAATTTAGAGGAATGATGTTGCCTTGGTTACTGAAAATAAAGCAGTAAAAATGTACGTCAAATATAAAGTCGTAAATTTTATTTTGATTCCTATTTTGATATATTATAACTATATTCTTCTTTATTTTTCAGAGCTGTTTTGCTAGAGTGATAAACCTTTCTAATGAGAGTCTTAAAGAGTATCAAATTGATATGATAATTACCTGCTCGCTCACTTTGGCAGTAATAATGGTATTTCTTTTTAAATAAAGACTTGGTTTGTATTTAACAACGCTTTTGACTAATTTTCAGTCAGTTGATTCTTGTTAACATTATAGAAATGTGAAAAATAGACTAGTGATCATGATTTATTTATTAACTTATTTAATTTATTGATACATATTTTTTGCAGTTTGCTTCATTCCTCCACGTTCTTGTCCTGATTTTCATCAGTATCTTCAAAAGATCTGAATGCTGTACCAAGTGCTGCAATTGATTTAAAAAGAAACTTGACGCTGAATAAGACATTTAACATTATATTTTATTGTGATTAATTTTCAATTTCTCATACCATGTTTAAAGATTTGAGTGAGTTTTTGATACTGTACAGGAACATTTTACCAAAAATTCGATTAGACCATAAAGCATTTTGGGTATATGACAACTCAACGAAAAAAATTCATAGATACGACAGGTCATCGATGAGACAACTGATAGATTACACAAGTCATTGAACGGAAATTCCATGGAAATCCCACAATCCATCGATACTCATCAAACCTGATCGAAAAAAAATAAACAAAATTATAATTGATAAGTTCATTTCATTAACTCATGCAACAAATTACTCAATATTTTTCATGAAAACATTATATGTCAAGATATAAATGTTTTGAAAATACCCCCACACTTCACCGGGTCTGAAGCATGGTTGTGTTCCTTTGCTCCTTCGATGATTTTTTTTTTCGTTATGCATCTACCCCTTGCAGTCAGTCTATCATTTTTTAAATAAGAGTAAGCGCTTTTTGTTCTTTCCTAAACATTAAAAACGGAATAAATAAAATTTTAAAAACTTCCCACCCATAGTCATGTCTTGGGCTAGGTGATAAAATACAAAATCAATTTTTCGTTAGTTCACCCAAACTGAAGGCTCATGTGAAATTTTCTTATCACATTTTGTCCGGCGTCCGTCTGTCCAGCTGTCTGTCTGTAAACTTATTACTTTTTGCGATGTGTCTTGAGCTAATAGGCTCATATTAACCAAAGTATCCTTAGGTAAAGACCATTCAAGTTTATTCAAATGAAGTGTCATATTTTCTTTTAAAAGAACCAATTACAATGGAAATTCATGTAGAATTATTCCCCCGGTAATGAATATTCAAGTTTTTTGATTCATGACACCAAGGAAAAGGGTGGAATCAGAAAGGACGATCATATTTTTACGCAGGGATATTGGAAAAGGTCCTCTAAAATCTTCTTCTCAAGAACCAGAGGGCCACGAAAGATGAAACCTATGAGGAAACATCCTCAGGTAGTGTAGATTTAAGTTTGTTCAAATCATGACCCCGTAGGTAGGGTGGAACCTCAAAGGATTCTTCACAAGAACAGAAAAGGCATGATTAGTCATATTGATATGGAATCATTGTCAGTATATTTATTTTGTTGAAATCATGACCAAGGAGTAAGGTGTAAACAAAATAAGCAAAGTTTTATAAAGGAATATATAGGGGGAAACATTACAATCTTCTCAAGAAAACAGACCAGAAGAGTTAAAACTTAATTGAAAGTTTTATTACATAATGATAGATTCAAATTGTTCGAATCATGACCCTCAGGTGTAGGTTTAGGGCACAATGGGTGATCGAAGTTTACATAAAAATATATATACGAAAAAATCTTTAAAATTCTTCTTTTCATGAACAGCAAAAGCATGATAAGTCAAATTGATATGAAAGCATTGTAGATAGTGTAGATTCAATTTTGTTTAATTAATGAACCCGTAGCTATGGTTTGGTCACAATTGGCAATCAAAGGAATTATGTATATAATATTGTATAAAAGTCTTCTTTTTAAGAACACCTGACCAGAGTTATAACCTAAGTGAATGCTTTATCACATAGTGTATATTCAATTTTGTTCAGATCATGACACTTAGGGGTGAGTGGGGCTCACTATGCAAGTCTTACATAACTATAAAAGACAAAAATATAGATTTTTTTTTTTCTCAAGACAGCAAATGTATTTTGATATGGAAAAATCCTCAGAAAGTGCAGATTCAATTTCTTCTAATCATTATCCATGGGGTAAGGTTGGACCGCAATAAGACGGTAAAAGTTTTACGGTGGAATATATAGGGAAAACAGCTGCTGTTGAGGAACAGTAGGACAATAGTGAGACTCAGACAGACGGAGAGACAAGAAGGAAACCTATAGTTCCGGTATCACCGATAGGGAACTAATTATCACATTTCTTCTTTTTTTTTAAATGGCAGATACATAGTAAACTCTGTAAAGGTTTCTGTTCTTTTGCAGAATCCTTTACATCTTGAAATGCTAAATCAGACCATGACGACATGGCTAACATCAATGAAAAAAGATCAAATTGGAAGTTACAAGCACGTGCATGCATGTACATGATGACAATGTCATCTTGAATAAACTATTAATATATCTTTATACTCTAAGTATCGAAGCATTTCATCAAAGATTTCATAATCTAATCAATAACAGCTTTTCTTTGTTGTTTTTTTAAAGCATTCACTGAACTTCAAAATTGCTTAGAAAAAGTATTTTTAAAGATCTTTGTTAATTTATATTTTTTGGAGATCCCTAAATATCAAAAGACTTTGTGAACGAGAAAAGGCGGCCTAATCCCCCCTCCAAAAATGGGAATAGGGTCAGGATCCTATATGCACTTGACTTTTTTTTCCTTTTTTTTCGATTAATACAATAGCTTAGAAGAGTTTGCCGGTTATGAGACGAAAAATTGGACAAGCAGCCTTTAATTGAAAATTTTCATACTAAATTACATATAAATAAAATTCTCATAGAAATCGACCGGTATTACGGATCTGAAGTCTGCCTCAATAACATTTTTCACCACCAATATAGAGGTGTATGTTAACGTATTAATGATTGTTCAATTAAAGTCTATCGATCTACTAATTTAGAAAAGTATAAATAAATAATCGTAAAATTGTTTTCCAAATAAATTGCTGCATATTCCTTCTGGAATGCCATACAAAGAAAATGTGATAGATTTTTTTTTTCAAGGTGAGTTGTCCAAGGAAAGTGAATATCTACACATTTATTGCTTAACTTTGAGTTGTCGTTATTTTATTCATATTTTGGCAGAACTGATATAGCAGACATTGTCACTGTAAATATCAATTTCTCGTACACTCGATTGTATAAAGATGGGCCTCCATTTCCATGTACTTAAATGTATTCAATGTGATATATTTAATGGTATTCTGAATAAAATCCATTTCCTTTATGCATATTTAGAGGTACCTCTGCATACTGAATAATACATGTTGCAAGTTCATTGTACAGTAAGTATAGAATTTCATTTAATTAATAAATAGGGGTCCAGTACAGGCGCGCGCCTTCGTTTGAGGTCTTTTTTTTCCTTGTAAAAGCAATGCTTCAACTGACCCCGCCCTGTCTTTTTTTATCCCATCGTAAGGATGTTGTAGGGAATTATACAAACGCGCTTCTGAGTTAGAGTTGGTTCGAATTAACAGAAATAATAAATTTTCATTTTCTGGCTTGCTACTTAAATTTTGTCCTATTTTTTACTTGCTTTCTGTATTTGGCATAGCAATATCATTTTAGCGTCATTGTTCTGAAGTTGTGTTAAATCAGATTCGTAATTTTCATTCGTCGACTCGAACCCAGACAAAGTGTAAGTTGTAAACACACCAGAGTTTCAAAGGTCGGAATCTTTTAAAAAAATTTTCAAGTTAATTCATTTGACAGCTTTCAGACGTAGTGTAGAGCATTGCGTTCCGACGCTGGTAGAAACATGTACATTGTATACATAGGTTTTCACTATTGACTGTTATACCAAATGTGCCAAAGGCCGACTTCAGAATGCCATTAAATACTATTAATATATAACAGAATTAATTAAATTCTGAAAGAAAAAAGGTTACGTTTACAGAGTGTGTTTTTTTCTAACATTCTTTTTATCACATTTAAAAATGTGCTATATAATCTCTAAAATGATAAAAGGAATGTTATCTACTCGTACATGTACAGTTTGTGAAGGAGATAAGTATTTTATTCTCAAAAGTGAGGGAAGGAAGGGGGGGGGGGACTAGCAGATTGTTGAAAAAAAAAACCTGTCCTTGACAATATTGCAAATACGTACATATTCTATCCTCCTCTGTGAAGAAAGTAAATAATCTGACCTTGACTGGCGATACCTACATTGTACAACCGCCCATAACACTACGAAGTTTTGATTTTTCCTGCTTGTCAACCTTTTCAAGGAAAAAAAATCTGCCTATAATCTTGGAAATGCACATTCAGTCCTGCGACGGTATGAAAGTAAATAACCTGACTCGACGAAATTAGCTACCCCCTCCCCCAACCGTAAATCAAATAAATGGCCGTCCCTTAATTGATAACTTATAGTGCAGTTTTATTGTTATTGACTTAAACTATATTCTTTCATGGTATATATTACATGTATATCAAAAATCGCCGATTGTTAAACATAGATAAGATTTTTTATTACCCTTTTTAAAACAACCATTAATGTTAACTGCGCATTTAGTCAAGTTAACTGTGTGGCGTACAATCAGAACTTTTAGGAATTCTTGGGAAACTATGTATACAAGGACACATGCATTATAGAGGAGCACCCCCTCGCAAGACACCATATTTCTAAACGACCTGAAAGCCAAAGACAAGAAACCTTTAACTCTTCACTGCTAAATGCATCTGCCTTCTTATAAATAATTCCGTTACAAGAGAAACTAGCATGACTTTAAATCACGTTGTATAAGCATTGTATTAGAGGTACTTACTGTTTGTATTGCATCCTAAAGATTTGAATCCTAAAATCCAGTGGACCTTTTCACAAAAACTCTCATGAATATGACAAAAAAATTCCAATTCTTCAAGAATTTTTTGTAGTAGATCACAAAAACTCTTATTTTTCTATTACAATATACAACATTGTAAATGATACATTAGAAAGGAAGAAATATCTGTGTGAAACAAAAAAAAAACCAACAGAGTTTTGAAATTTTATCTTAGTTGTAATGTTTTTTTGTGAAAAGGGACACAGTGTTGTAAAAGTCTCCGCTCTGTTAGACTTTGTCACAGCGATTCCCATCACTGCACAAATATTCCTTTACTGTGCAAATAAGAGTTCTGCTTGACGTATTTATACTTTCTAGGCTTTAAACTTAACGTCAAGAAAAGCGTTATCTTTGAAAGATCTTCCTACAGGTATAACGAAAGGTCTCCACTCTATCTCTAATGA